TTAGCGCAAAACTAAGTACGTAATTTATTAATAATTGATTTGTGACAAACATATATAATAATACTATGCATCAGAATAAACTTAAAATATATCGGCTGAAATTACTCATGTCATTATCAATAACTGTGGTATATATATATATATATATATATATATATACGGTAAAACCCTGTTAAGACGATTTTTCCCCAATATGTTTCAAAGTGACTTGCTTATGGGGGTATTCTAGTGTAAAGACTTAGATTTTAAATCATTGTAAAACAAGAGCCAACCAATTTTTTCACTATCTTTTTTCTATAATTTACTTATAAATGTTACAAGAGTACATGAAAAAAAAAAAGATTATTAATCTAGAATAATGTCTCAATGGAATATGCTAGGATAAAGTTAAAATAAGAAAAATGACAAAATTGCAACAGTTTGACAAAAAGATTCATTTTTCTTACCATTTTCACAATTTTTTAAAAATAATAAAGATTGAAATTTGGGTATAAGTATATACCAGAGAGAAGACTATAAATAAAATTCTCTGAAAATTTCAAGTGAATCGGTTCAGTAGAACTCGAAAAATCGTGGGCATCGTATTGAAAAAGAGAGTTTTGAAAAAAACGCGTTTAAAGTTTCGCAAAAGGAAGGAAAGCGAAGAGGATTCTCATGGTCAAAAAGCTGTTTTTCCGAAAATAATTCAAATTTTAAAAAATCCTCTCGTATACATATTCTTGAATAATTGAACTTTGAAAATATGAAACAACAGAAAAAAAACGATTGTTTTTTTAATTACCACACTAAAATACCGCCTTAAAGTGTCGTATTATGCGGGAACTCGCATTGAGCATGAGCGTCTTAACGGGATTCCGATTTGTATATATATATATATATATATATATATATATACGATATATATATACATATTTTTGAATAGTCTTGAATTTGATGTTGATATAATATATTTAATTTGAGTTAGAAGGTCAAAATCAATAAAAAAAGTATGAGAGTTTTTAGAAACTTATTTAAAATCCATACGTTTCGGCTAGCATCTTAGCCTTCATTCAGTGACAATTTAAAATTTTGTATCCTAATATACCATATGAAAACATTATTAATCCATGGTATGAGTATGTGCACATTGATAAAATATATATTTTTATTGATGTAACGCCCGACTTTTTAACTCAAATTAAATATATACACATATACATATTAGATGGTAGAGTTCTGGATTTGTAAATATTTTGTAGAGCTTCGAACAAAGAATCCAAAAAGTAATAAAAAACAAAAAAAAATTAAAAACCATTTCTTTATTTATTTACTGTCGACGTTTCGGACATCTTCAGAACATCTATCAAGAAACATGATCTTGATAAGATTTAAGCAAACTTCGATGCTCTACAAAATATACACACACACACACACATATATATATATATATATATATATATATATATATATATATATATATATATATATATATATATATATATATATATTCACGTGCACGTGGATTATAAAAACCTTTGTTTGCCGATTTTAAGATTCTGGAAAAACGGTTTGTTCTAATGTTTGTAGTGTGTCATGAAATAATTTTGTAGCCGTTTTTTGTTTTTGTAATTTAAAACTAAAAGTGTTATTTGACATTGAGTCACAAATCACTGATAGACAGAAATTATTTTACTAAATCTTGCTAGATGCAGTCTAGTGGCTTTTAAAATATTGCAAGTTGATATTATCACAGGCGCGCAACGGTTTAAATAAAATAAAACATTTACATTTAAATTTATATCAGAACAGTTTTTCCTACACAACTTATAAAAACCACCTATTAATACTTTCTAACAAATGAATTTCAAGTTTGTATTTAACTATTTCATTATCAAGTCTATAAGAGTATGTGATGATTATGGAAGGCAATATAGAATTTTCAAACATGTAAAATTTCAATTTAATATTTTGCTTTTACATGCAAAAAAATTACATCTTAAAGCGATGAATTAAGCGCACCTGCATATTATTAATGTCTTTATGAATCCATGCTTACGAATAAATTATGACTAGTTGAAAATTTATTTTTTGAATTCATTTTTGAAAGCCATTTGCAGTCGACTAGCTATGAGATCGCTACCGAATATTTTTAAACAAAAAGACATGTAATAGACTGACTATTATATACACGTATATAAAATTCAATAATTTAGTCGTAAGCATTGTCGACACAATGTAACATTGTTCGATTAATTTCCGAGAAAAATAATTATAAACTAGAAAATACATAGTCGAAGAATACAAAAATAATGTAAAGTCAGGATTATTATCGATAGGTTTATATGTATATACATATATATGTATATATGTACATATATATGGATATATGTATATATGCATATATATGGATATATATGTATATACATAGATACAAATAAGATTTATATACTATTACAATAATATCCTATTTTGTGACCAGCACTTTCAATGCTAATGAGTTAGTTTTCTTTAACTTTATTTAAAGACAGTAATATACACAAAATTCCCATCGCAGTCTAAAGATCAAAAATTTCAATCTGTGTCCTTCATATAATTTATTCTAAACGTATGTAAGCGTATCTAGTATAATAAAGCGCAAATACATTATTCAAATCAATAACATCATTGATATACTGTCTGTTTTAAATATACTATTTAATATAGAGCCTATATTAAGTACACAGTCGAATAAAATAAAAATGAACAAATAGCATTTCAAAATCTGTTCAGGCGGGCGCAAACACACACACACACTCATATATATATATATATATATATATATATATATAAAGTATTTTATATATATATAAAGTATGGGTACAGCCCATCGTCGAATTAAAAAAAGATTAAAATAAAAAAATTCGTGTTACTATGCACAGCGAGCGAACAACACTCGATATAGGAGGGCAATATGTGCTCCTTTAATAATTTATTAATTATTATTAATTATATTGTTCTTTTGCACAAGCTTAGTGTTTAATAAATTTTATATATTTTTCCTGGTTAGATTACTGAATGATGACACACATTAAGTATCGAAACGTTTAATAGAATAAATATTTTTTCTATTTTAATCTATTTTGTAATTCGAAGATTGGGCTGCTGGATGTATCAACGTCGACAAAACTATCATCATATACATATATATTAAGATGGTCCTTAATATAGATATTTTCAAATTTTTTTGCTCCCAAATGCTCAAATCCTTTCAAATTGATTAAAAAAAAAATCTCAGAAATTTTTAGCTCTTAATATTAACTTGGAAATAACATAGGTAAAATTCCATTTGTTTTTTTGAATTTTATAACTTGTGAATAAAAATTTTGAGAATAACATTGTATTTGCTGATTTTGATAATAAATAAATAATTGCAACAAAAATTTGATATATTTTATAAAATAAGTATTACTTAGGAAGATGAACCAAGAAACTTTGGCTGATGTGCGGAATATGTTAGAGTTAATTTTAAGAGCTGAAACTTGCAAAGAATTTTTTTATCAATTTAGAAACATTTAAGCCCCTGGGAGCAAGGAAATTCAAAAACATCCATATAAAGGTATCACCAAAATATAATATTATATATACATATATACATATATTAAATATGCAAATATGAACACACAACACTCTCCACAAATTTTATTTAATATATCTAAATCACAAATGTGATATACCTCATGATCAGGGTAAATTCTTACAGTAAAAATATATATTTCAAAATATTCATTCGAAATTACCAACTTTCTATCACAGGACTTGACATTGTATTTAGATACTGGATACTGGATAGTGTCATGCTTTGTAGTAGAAAGTTGGTAGTTTATCAAAAATTTAAAATTAATATTTTATAATGTGTTAAGATATATGTTTTTGCTGTAAGAATTTACTGTAAGGATGAAACATAACCCGGCCTTGAAAATTTGTGCAATAAAGAGAGTATACAGTGTCCACATTCACATTTTTAATATTCGTTCCGCTCACACAAAATTATATATATATATATATAATTATATATATATATATATATATATATATATATATATATATATAAATCTACGCATATTGCTTATGTTTGTATATATTACATACGCAATAAGCCAATAAATTTATTAATTAAAAATTATAGCTCAAAAAAAAAACTGGCTATGTTATTTGTATCGTTTGTTCACCTTATATTTTAGTGTCAATTATAATAACGTAATAATACTATTTTAAAATATAGTCAAATTAATCTTCTTTCGGTTAAACTAAAGCATTAAATTGCTTAAAGCATTTTACATAGTCATTGATAAAAGTCGGTTTTTAAATTTAATAAGAACAATGTATAATGTATACATAAAAAATAATTTTATTTTAAAATAGTAGATTTAAAATATATAAAAATGTGATCTAAAACATAATACTTTTGATTAGAATTAGGTAATTATTAAAAAATAAATATTTATCTTATAGTTTATCAATAATTTCTATTTTAATAAAGATAATATTATTTATATACAAAATATGATTAAAAACTCTTTTCTCATTCGCAAATCAACTTCTGTTAGTTCAGTAAAAAGATTTACGCATTGGAGTTTTCAATGAGCTAAGTATCTCTAATATTAACTGAGTGTCCACTGGGTAAAGTAAATCTTACATTATTTCTATACACATAATTTGTAAAATTATTGTGATGTAAGACATCAAGCAATAAATCTCTTCATAATATCTTATTTCTTATCAAAGATTAAGACTAGCGTTAACTAACTACATAGAATCTGTTCTAGAATATAGTTATTAAATTAATATAAAAATTATGTTTTATTCATATCACATACATGATATATTTCAAAGATAGAAATAACATGATATATACTATCATCTATGTTTAATAATCAAATTTCAAATATCAATTAATAAATCACTCGCAAAATATTTATAGAAGTCTCATTAAAAGTAACTTAAAATTTGGTAAATAGAATAAATCTGCACATTTTCTGGGAAATAAGAATAATATTTTTGAAAGAATTTATCGCAAAAAATTTCGGTTCAAAAATAATAAACTCAACATCAAAATAGTTAACATTTTCGTTGATAGCTTCGCCTACATGCGACATTCGCTTGTCGACCTGTGTGTACGAATGTCACTTATAGACGATATACCGTGACAATGATCAGAAAATCTTAAAATATTTTGTGTAAAAAATACTTGGGGAACTTGCTGGCTTGTACAGTAGTGTCACTCCTGCGGAAAACACTACCTTAACAAAAGGGGTAACACGTTGGTGTAGTGTCGTAGATCGTATTTCGGTATTGCATAATAGAAAACTCTTTAGCAAAACGCTAATAAGAAAAATAGACTGATATACAGTAATACCCCGTCTAACGCCGCATCCTTTAGCGCTCTGTTATTTCTGAAGGGATAAATGAGGAAGATGTCGAAGAATTAATTCAAGAAGCAGCGCGGTCTTTCTAATGGTGAGCTCAAGGAATAAACTGAACATGAAGAAAACAAAAATGTTGACGGCAATGGTTCAACAGAAGAGCAAAAACAACTTTTGATTACATTTGTATAAAGGAGTTTGTCTACCATAACTGAAATAATGAATGAATTCATTGATATTTTTTTTATTGTTTCAACAGCAATCAGAACTCTTACTTTTTATATGTTCTATAAGCTGTTTTTGTTGAAGACATATAATCTAAGCTATTTTTATGAGAGGCAACCCATCGGTTCACCATTCTATGTGTGGGGTTTATATTAGCTCTTACGTCTGATAGTTTTCATATGATTGAATGATGCAACTATGTCCACAAAGAACGATTTCCACTTTAAATTATATTGTAATCTATAACCCCAAGTGGAAATTTGACATCAAAGTTGCCTGATGTCGGGCTACGGCGGTAGCGGGAATCAAACCAGCAAACACGGGACTAGTTGGTGCTAGCCCACGTTCTAACCGATATCGTCACCGCTGGCCCATTCATTGAAAATGATCCGAATTTTGACAGAAGCTCAAAAGTAAGACTTGATGTTAGAGATGCTCTATCCGTTTATGAAGAACTTTTAACAGAACAACGTGAAAAAATACAAACAACATTAGATGCATTTTTCACAAAAAAGCAAAAGACTGAAAACGCGGTAGGCTATCTAAATATGACTTTTTATTTGTTTTTTTTTTTTTCAAGAATATACGTTCTGGTCATGTTCTGGTATTCATATTTTGTTTTTGTTTTTGCAAGAAATAATAATGTGGTATTAATTTGGGCTTTAAGAAATAAAAGTTTGGTTTTATTTTTAGTAAAAAACATTCTTTTTAAATTTAATACCGAACCAATTTCCTAGCCGTCTTCCCTTAACCCCAATATTTCCATGTAAAGATAGCCTCGTTTAGCGCTGTTTCGCATTGCGCTCTACTTTGATGAAACGTATCCCCGTGTTAAACGGGGTATTCCTGTACATATATTTATTACAACATAAGATATTCTCAAAAATTTCACTGGGATCTATGCAGTTTTTAACGTAATTCACTATAAAGTGAACTCTATGAAATATACCGCTATAAAGTATGTATATCTGATACTTTAGATATCAGATATTTCCGCACTAAAAATTGCTTGTGAAAATATTAAACAAAACATGATTTATTGATAGAAAGTTAATGATTCTAGTTATCATTCCACCAGTCGTGACTTCACACGGCATACGAAGCAATGTTTATCGAGAAATATTCAGGAAAAAATTTTTTTTGTTTACTTTCGCGATATAAAAAAGCTATCTGAAGCGCACAAAATGTAATTACTAAAATTACTGAATTTCAAAAGTAATTAATAAAGAAAATCTTTCTGCCCAAGCGGATCCTATCAGTTTTTTCTGGGTCGAGCCCCTCCTCTACAACAAGCGCGACTTATTAAAATCAATAATATATTATTTCAATAATTTCTAAGATAAATTCAGAGCAAGTATTTTAAACGAGCTTGCAACAAAAGTCATAATTTTTTTTTACAATACATCAAACCAGGTACATATTTTTAGAGAAATAATTCATACAATATAAATTCATTTGAGTTATACTTTTTAAAGTCGATGATAAAATGATTAATGTCGGACAAAAACTGGTCCTAATTAGAACATAATGGTGAAAATCAAAAGTTTGTGATCATAGATAAAATATTAAGAAGCTTGTAGTCTTTGATACAGAGAATGATAACTTCTCGAAGTAAATATAGTCTAACAATGTCTCCTACTATTAGCCAATCTCAAGTCCCACTCTTTCAAATTTTCCTTCTTGAATAATTTCATAGCATGTTTTTATTTTCGCTTGACCGAAATATGGCTCAGAGTTATTATCACTCTGAAAATGTTGCTACGTATACCACATCCTACATAATCACATTTATATATATGCTCTGTATAATTTCAATATGACATTTTATACAGAGCTCCAAGAATACTATGAAGCATAATACAAAACTAATTTTCACGTCATTTTTTTAAAATGGCAACGAAATCAGATAAGTAATGCAACAGATGGTATCAACATGATACGAAGTGAAAGCTGACATGAATTATTTATGCATTTAAGTTTTGTTTGTCATAGTGACCAGCATGTGCTGAATATCTGTCAAATCATCTGATGCTGGTTCGGCACGAGGTCGTTTATCTTTAGATTTTTTAGGATCGTCGGAATTTTCGAACAGTCTAGTCACTGTGTCCCGTTTCGGGGGTACGACAGGCTTGTTGGGCGGAATTGGAGGCGGAATACCTCGTGCTGCTGTTACACCCTTTTTGGCCAAAGGCTGCGCTAATACGGGTGATTTTGAAGGCAAAGCTGTAGGGGATGCATTCGGAGGTTTTCGAATACTAATGCCACTAGCCTAGAAACGGACATGAACGATTTATTTTTAACGCTAACAATCTGATTATACGGTAACAACCAAGGAAAAAAAAGCTGAATAATCCTCCATAAAAATTTAAGGAAAAGCAATGATCTAATATTCAAATGATTAATATTAAGTTGCATGGTTGCATTATTTACTTGCAATTGATTTGTTAATATTAAGATTTGTTTCAAAGTTTATAAATAAATGTAATATCCTACCTTAGCAGCATTGAGATGACTATCACTAGAAGTACCTGGTGAAGCTAGAGTTGAATTTAAACGTAGGCCTTGGCCTGGGGAAATTGAACGTGCTATTCCGGTTGCTGTAAAAAATATAAATTTAATTTTTTTTAAATATAGTTTATGAATACATGTATTTCTTTTTTCCTTACTGGGACCACAAACAGGAACACTAGAAACTGTAGCAGTCGGCTGGACTACTTTTGCAACACTACTACCTGTAGCAGAGGGATCCTCAATACAATCTGTTTCACTAGTGGAAGTCACACCTGTACAATTGTAATCATATTATATTTTATTTCATATATGATTGGATGAAGCTACAGGAGAAGATTGATTTAACACACACCATTCAATTTTCTCAATACAATAAGTTTAACAGAATAAGCACTTCAAGCAACTTGCTAATATAATCTAATATATTATAAATGCCGATTATAATATATTTTAAATACCTGAAACACTCATGGCTCTACCAAGTTTAGAAGGTAACTGTGGAACTGAATAAGGGACACTATTTTGATGAATCCGCATAGGAATTGATCTATTACCTGTATTATTAACACCAGATTCTAATGCTTTGCGCAAACTTTCATTTTCTGCTTTAACTTGTGCTAGCTCTAACTCAATGTCACGAGCCCTATATAAATTCGTAAACAAAATGTCATTAACATTTATATTAAGTATATCTTCATGTTAAAATAGAAAAAAAAAACTTAAAATAGTGATCATAAAAAATAAATCTATATAAAAATTTACCTTTTTTCTTCTTTCAATAATTGTACTTGTAAGGCCTTTTTCTCTGTTTCAAATAAATGCTGTTGTTTTTCTAAATCTGCTTCCATACTTAAAGATTTTTTACTTTCTTCTTCAAGGCCTTCTGCCATTGAGTCTATTTTCAATTTTTCTTCAGAAAGAATCTGCAAAATTCATAACATAAAAATGAACCTATTCTTGAAAATAAAAGAAATTTCTGAGAATTATTCTCTGTTTACCTGTGCTAAATCTTCTGACCGTTTTCTTTCTTCTATATATTTCATAATAATTTTTTTTCTTTCAGCAAGTAGCAATAATACAATTTGCTTATGTCTACCACGTTCTTCTTCAAAAACGTCATGCTGCTTTTTTAAATCTTTTTCCAGCTTTTTATGTGCTTGCTTTTCAGATTCTAATTCCTATTAAATGGTAAAATTAAGATAAGCATGACATATTTCATTGATGACTTAAATTCAATTCACTTTTTAATTACTTGTTTTAAACGAGTTCTTTCCATTTCCAGACCATAAGTTATGTCATCTCCCTGTGCAGTATCATGCTCATGTTTTCTCTTTTCGTCCTCAAGTTCTTGAATTATCTAATTGTTCATGGATGAATGAAAACATGATATTGTATATTAAGAAAAGTACAAACAATTTTGGACCAAAAGACAGAAGAAAAAAAAATCAAATTAGCATATGAATAATAGAGTACATGTATAAATACTGTATGTACTATGAAGTAGATGTACGTAGTGCATTTATAAAAAAATGGTTTGAGCATAAAAAATATATGTTAAAGTTTATAACAATAAAACCTTCTGAAATTAATTTATAGGTTTAATTAAAAAACTTCATTAAGAATGTTACCTTTTTGTGTTTTTCTTCGGCATCTTTCAATATAGCTGCCATTCGCAATTGAGTTTGTCTTTGTTGCAAAACCAGATTTTCTAAAGACTCCATTTGTTGATCAACAACAGGCCTATGATCTGATTCTACTGTATGAGAATATTTTGAATTTCCTACACAAACAGTAACACTGTCACGAAATAATGCTGAATAAGGATCATTGAGTGCCAATGGTCTATAGCGTGCTTGTTGAAGAACTTGTTTTACTTTTTCTGACTGTAAACAAAAATAAAAATATTTAATTAAAACAATGTATTGAATGTAGGTAAACCACATACATAACCATAAATTTATGATGTAAAAAAAGTATGTATGTAAGTTCGAATTAAAACTTAAACATACACAACTAATAGTTTATGCCTTACTACAAAATCTAGCCATATGTTTCATTTCATCATTAAAAAAATTTATATCAGTTATCAAGATCAATAAGATATCTACAATTACCTTTAGTGCAGCAATAACAACATCTCGAGCTTGTAATTCACCTTCCAAGTAACTTAATAACTTTAACAAATCAGTTTTATTCAGTTCCATCTTCGGATTTCTCTATAAATTTATGTAAATTTGTATACAATAATTAATAACAAAAATGCTTACAGAACTTTTTTTTTTAATTCTTTATAGAAATAAAAATATCTATAAATACATATATAAATATATATATGGAAGCTCTAGAAAAGAATAGTATATACACATACATAACATAGCTCTGTATATTAGTAAGAAACTTTAAACAAAATATCAGTTTATTAAGATGTAAATAAACATGACATTCAAAGGCCAAACGTCAAACAGGAGTTACCTTTAAAGTACTGCTTATAGTTTTATCAAGCATTTCGAATTTAGTACTAGAACTTGTATTTCCTGAGGTCCTTTGATGCACAGAGGAATCATCACCAAAATTCTTTACACATTCTACAGAATTGTCAATATATTTACTATTTAAGTCAACATTCGAAGCCATCTTGAATTTTTCAACAAGAAATAGCTTACGACTTACGAATCGCAAGCGAGTGACAAATGCAACAGCTTATCGATATTTTTATGAATATATGAAAAAAAAAGACATTACTCATGAATTAAAATATAAAATAAAACATAGTAAAATATATGCGCCATACTATGCAAAATACTCAAAATTTGTAAAGTAAGACAAGTTTATTATCGATTCAAAATAAATATCGATAATAATGCTTTAACGAGTAACGGTTTTTATTTTCAAATATAAGAAAGACATACAATTATCGGTTTGTACATACAAAATCCATGTTATGAAATAAAGTGCAAAATATAATTATAAAAGTATCACAAAAAACGATCTAGTTTAATATCTTTATTACTCATAAGAATAGAGGGCTCGACCAACCATTTTATATTTATTTAAAAAATATACTTAAAAGAAATCCTGTACTTTACAACTCTGTGTTGTAATTTACTTTCCAGTCTTGTAAATGAGATTCATACTAATTGAAACATAAATTACGATACAGCATACATTTGTGACAAATATACAATTTTTTATAAATCAAAACACAAGGCTTTCTACTTATACTAATAATAAAGTATTATATTTAAAATTACAAGAATAATTAGTTTCATTATCACTCTATGTAAAATCATGCATTCACTCAACTTATAGATTTATTCAACTTATAAATTCATACTATTATTCATAATTTATGCTATATTTAAAAATCACAAATATTTAACTAGAATCATGATTAAAATTATTTCATTTTTATCATGGAAGAATATACATATAAAAAAAGAAATGTGAATAAATAATCAACATACATTTAATATTTATGTATATGCCCGCTATGTTCTAGTTGAATGTGTGTATATATGTACATTTTTGTAAAAGCAGGAATGCAAATGTCCTCCATTTTTCTTAATACTACAGTCTACAAAATAATCCAGATTTATTTATTTTTTTATAGAATAATTAAAATATTTATGATGTCATATAATACAATTTTTTTTATAAATATAATGTAATACTCTAATATACAAATATTAAATACTGATCTCATACAGTCCTTTTTAAATTAAGTAATATATTTTTGATAAAAGGAAGTAATTGAATTTTATATGTAAGAAATACATACATTCTTAGCATAATTACACAAAAATGTACATATTTTAAGCGAAAAAAAAGAAAACTTAGTTTCACAAAATAATATTTAAACTCAAAGTCAATAACATGTTCTTAAAAAACTGCTTGCTTCTCAGATTCTAATAAACCAGTACCATTAACATTCCCATTTAGTGTACTTGTGATATTAACCGAACATTCCACTTTATTTCCTAATTCTGGCAAAGCACATTCTGCAGAAATTTTCTTCTGCGGCCGTGTGTCATTATCCACTTCCTTCATAGACACATTATTGCACTCCTCTTTCAAAGTTGACTTTTCAGTTTCTTTGGAAGCTTTAGTTTTAATGTCACTTTGCTCAACATTGGATGTTATTGTACTAGAATGGATTTCTTTTTCACTATGTGTAACTGTATCTAAATTTGTTTCATCAGACAGTGCCTTATCATCACTAAGAAGCATTTTCTCTTCTGTTGAACAGTTTTTCTCAATAATATTTGATTTCACAGAATCTACATCTGTATCTGTTAAGGTAGCAGAATTATCTTTCTCCTGAATACCTCCAATTTGGATTTTATTACCTATTTGTTCCTTGGAGTCACTAACATTTTCTTGCGGTAATGTCTCATCCATTTTACTGCTTTTTGAAGCTTTTGATGGACTTGAAGGTTTTGATGAAACTTTCGAAGAAGCACTATTGCCTGGCTCATTATTTTGATTGGCATGATCAGGTACAGGTGAATTCAGTTTGCATACTTTACAATAATAATCCTCATCTGTATTAATGGAGTTCTTGTCAATGCCAACACACAACATATGGAACCACTTGTCACATCCTCCATCACACTGAACCCAATCTACTTCTGAACCTATTTTGCAAAATTGAAAGACATTGAAATTTGTTTACACAAATTTTATATTTATATGCACGCGCTATAACAACATAATATACAAACCATTTGGATGCAAACACTTGCTTTCAGCACATTCATCATCATCATCTAGTGAATTTTGTTTCTTTGGTCGTCGACCCTTTTTCCGAGGAACTCCACTGTCTGAGCGTCGCTTTCTTACAGTCACACCTACAATAAACAATAGTACTTAAATTTTTTAGATAATAAATCTATATTTTAATAGAATTAAATTACCATTGTTAGTCTTTAGCCCTAATTCCTTTCCTTTTAGTGTTCTCTTCTTCAAATCAGGTGAAAGTTTAGCAATTTTAGGCATTTTGGAATGCACAGAATGTTCATCAGATTTTCTCTTCAAAGATGCACGCTTTTTCATTAACAGCTTATTTGATTGAATCTAGAGTATAAAGTGATATTATAAAAAAGGTAATTGATTTGTAATAATAATTTCACAAAAACAGCAATAATGAAGAAAAATGTAATAATATTTCAAATAACATGCAATAATCTTATATTATAACATATTACATTACTAACATAGATTACATTCTAAATTACTAACTTGTATCAAACCGAATTGATATCGTAGCAGCTTTTCCTGAACAAATTACAATCATTAGCAGTTTATACAACTAAATTTTGTTTATTGCTAGTGTATTAGAACAAGTATAATAAATGATCTGCTTTTGTTTATTTAGAAACATAGATGTTTGAAGTCATAGCAACAGCTCAAAATTAGAGATTATTATAGAACAAAATTTTGTAGTAAAAATTAAAATTGAATTTTATTTTACAAAAACAGATTTTAATTGTAAATGGTAGCAATAAAAATTAAAAAGACTAAATTGTACACAAATTCTCTGTTATTAATACTTTTATAAAGCTACCAAATATTAGTGAAGCATTTCAATGTAGTGCCAGTTCAACAATTACTAACCTTATTACTATAACACTCCAATGAGTTTCGCATATGAGGCCTTTTTGTAGCATTTAAAATTCTCCAAATATGATGTGTTTCATCCAATGATAATTCTAACAAATCCCCTTCCATCATTAATTCTTCGAGTTGCTCTGTTGCAGTCTCGCTCAACCTAATGACTATTGAAACATCCATAATGCTGCCTGACCATGGCTTAATACTTTCTTTCTTTGGTGATGCAGAATATGTATGTTCAGAGCTAATATAAAATATAATAATTTGTATAATGCATTTCTAACAAATTCATCGCTTAATGTTTATAATATAACTACATAGCTCAATAGTTCCTCAATAAGACATTTACAATTTCTATGATCTATTATTATAAATCACAATTATCTTAGTAAGAAATTAGAATAACAAATAAAACCATAAATATATAGTTAATAATAACCTTTCAAGGACATGATAACTATTCAAGGAAGTAGATATGGATTTACGTAGCCGCTGTATTAAATGTTGAATACGATTCTTGGATTTGGCTTCATTATCTTTTTCCTGGGAACTAAAATGGATTGGAAGATGGCATATGGAAAGGAAAAAATTGGGTAAGAAATGCTGATATAAAAATAGGAATACTAACATAGTTGTATCACTTACTTTTCATCTTCAGCGTCAAAGTTATCATCTTCAGAACTGTTATTTGATTCATAGTCATCTTCTCCTTGAGAATGTTTGGATGTTTTACGCTTTCTTTTTGTTTTTTTTAAATCTATACTAATATTTTTTTTGTCAGGTGATTCACATGTTACAACCTCGTTTAATTTTTGCGACATTACACACAATTTTGATAAAGCAGAAGAAATTTCTTCTGTACCTAAGAACTGTCGTGCTCTATCTTGCCAATTCATGGCTCTTTCAGTAAGGCATTGTAAGGCTTCCCCTTCTGGCAATCTTAAAGATTGTGGTTGCAATTTTAATAAAAGTGATAAAATTGTTTCTAACCTAGGCCTCCGTGTTCTCTGACATAGCGGACATAAAAATTTGACATCTCTGTAAGGATTTGAATTGGCAGGCTTCATTATGGAATTTGTGGTTTTTTGTCCAACTTGACTCTTTGGAATACAATTTACTGCAATGCAAAGCAATTAAAATTATATAAATAAAATATATATCAATAACATGAAAATATAATGTCACACAACTCACTGTGATAAAGGCCTTTACAGAGTTCACACTGCAACATATAACCCAATTTTGGCTTTTGGCAAAGGCATAATTTGTCATCCGTAGCATTTTTAACCAAATTAGCTTTCCTTAAATTTCTCATTTCCTCAAGTTCCTTTTCTTCAGCTTCTTTATATATTGCTACTATTTCTGCTGGACTTCTGATATCCATGAAAAATGTTTTAATATTTTCTAAAGTCATTTTTTTACCTCCAAACAGTCCATTTCGAGGTGATAATGCTTCTAATAAACAGATGCGTGACTTCTTTCTTAAAAAAGCATGTGCAGTAACATCCTTCCAATCCGAACCTGCTTCGACTCTTTTTTCAAGATCTTCAACTTCTTTTAATACTACAGGTATTTTATGAGCTTTACTAAGTAGCTCTTCTAAAGTATGAAGATAAGGAAAATTGTCGCTTTGTTTCAACTTGATCAATTCTGCATTCCAATCCTTAGCTTGTTTGACTAACTCCCTTAAATCATTTTCTGAGGGCAAAATTACATCAATTTCTTCAGCATCATATAGCAAGTCTTCTAGAACTTTTAAAGGCTGCTCTTTGTTCTTTTTCTTCAACTCTTCAATTTTTGCTTCAAATTCTTCAGCCTAATAAAAAAAATATAATTAACAATAAGAAAACTTTTTTCCTATTAAAAACTTACTAAGGCATATTAAAAACTTACCGAATTTAAAGTTTCTTGTAGTAGGGCAAGTTCCTTTTCTACAACTGAGTCAGGAACTAAGGCAATACCTTCAGCTAACATGCTTTTCAGGGTATCCAAATCCATTGTACCTTTCCCAAAATCATGCAACTTATTTAACCACTTAATTTGATCTCTTCTTGCCCTCAGTGGCCTTAAATCTGTTAATTCAATTGTAAGCATGTTGCCAGCCTCAATGCAGGCTTCTAATTCCTCAATATTAACATCTTTCAATTTTAAACCTAATAAACTTTTAGCTTGCTTTACAAATATCAAGGCTTGAGATTCCAACTCTTTTAGCATGCTTGTTTCTTTTAATGTACAAGGCAAAGAATTTATTTCATCACAAAATAGTGTAAGCTCTTGAAGCGATAGTTTATATTTAACATTTGTACGGGTGCGTGTTCTCATTTTGTTCAGTTCTAAATGTTCTATTACACTAAGACAAGCATCAGCTGCTGCCAAAACCATTCTTAAATTTTCATAATATACATTAATAGGAAATTTCTTCTGTTTGGCTTCATCTAGCAATAATTTTAAATCCATATATTGTTTTTTATTTGTTTGATCTGTCTGATCTAAAGCAGTTGTTACAGTTTTAACCCAAGTTTCATATACTTTTGCTTTTTCTCCAACTTTAGTCAACATAGTTGGAAGTTCATCTAATGTATAACGATAACGTAGTGTATGTCTTTCAGGTGGGCATTTACATAAACATTCATAATGTCTTAAACAAACTAAAGTAGAACTACATTCACACGTAACTGCAGAGAGAAAGCATGTTGTTTTACAAAAATCACACTGCCTTTCATCATCAGGCAGGAATTCAAAGGCTTCTCTTTCAGCTTTAGTCACACCCTGCAATAGTTGATAAAATTAATAAATTATTTTTTAAGCAAACTCAAATTAAATCGTAATTACCCATTCTAAAAGTCCTTTTCTTAATTTCTTTTCTATCTCAACCATGTGAACCATATCTTCATGAGTGGCAACAGCAACTGTATGATCAAGCATATGAGGCACAACAGACATTTTGCATACCAATTCATCATGTGAAAACACGCAAAACCTTCTTAACTTTGAATAATGAAGAACACATTCTCGACCAATTTTTAGCTGCATAAAAAATGGGTAACAATAATTAATGAAAGGTATTGGACACAATTTGGATCGTTCACAATCCATATTGTATATCAACAGATTAAATAGTTGATTCTTGAATAATTATTTTAATTATTAATAATGTATAACATCATACCCAATCAGCAGGAGCAAAGTTTACAGCTTCAGCAAAGTTATATCCTTGATTGAAACCAGCGTGATACGCTCTTGGGAATGTTATTACAAATTCCCCTGCACATTGATCAGTTCTATATACAGGAACACCTTCATTCATAAGGATATTTGGATTCATTATCGTGACTAATTGATGAAGTAAATCAGGTTGCGATTGAAACAGTTCTGGTGCAGCTGCTTTCATTGTTGTTTCAAATGCTTCAGCTGCACCACCAGGAACACCGTACCATGTTTTAGGTTCTCCCCAATGCAGATAGTTTATAGAATAACTCCAATGATCCTCATTATGCCAACAAAATGTAGCAAAACACATTCCAACGTACATCCATGGAACCTATTTAACAACAATTTCTATTAATCTTTAACCATAAGTGTTATCAGGTAATCATTAAAAAATTATTGAAAAATTAATTTACATTTTTTTTTAGAAATTCTATCATTTTCTTATTATTATTATTAATTATTACCTTCATTCCTGAAATATCAGCATTTATGTGGCCTAACACAGATCCCTCTAGAACAGGCAAATTATTGAGGTTCCATCCACATTTTACATATTCCTCATCAGTTTGTAGCAAATTTGATGCTGTTGATGTAGGAAATCCTGAGCCATGATCCATAGTATGCAAATCAGCACCATATTCCACTGTTACATCTTCATCTATAGAAGAAACAATTCTCCAAAACTCACGCTCAACCACTTCAGTTGGCACCATCTAAAACGTAAGTAATAAGATCTACGTTTAGCCTGTACAGACTTATGTGTGTGTATATATATATATATATATATATATATATATATATATATAATAAAATACACTTACATGAACTGGCATATTAAAGTAAGTTGACTTAAATTTATCTGCCATGTCTCCAAATTGTTGTAAGGAATATTCACGCTGAGCTTGCTCAAAACCAAATGCCTCGACAGGTTTGCTAACTTCTTTTGCAACACATGCAGGGCATCTCCAATCTCCTTTTGGTATATCCAATAAAGGTGGCATTAGGCAAAATGTATGATAGCTATCATCACAGCCATCACAAAGCAACATAGATTCTTCAGCGTCACCACGAGTGCAATTATGACAAATATATTTTGCTAACTAAAAACAAATTTAAATTGTAATCATATCCATTAAATTTCAATAGTTGTACTTGCTTGCTGTGAATTACTATAATGGAAAACTTACCGGATCCGGTTCCATAACTAATTTTTTCGATCGCCGTTTTTCGTAAGCACTGTTCCTGCCTGATGCTAACGAACAAGACATTTTTGGGCCTGGTCCATAAAACTGCAATCGTTTCATTTCGCAAACATCTTCATTTTTTATATCTCCTGTAGACGTTCTTCTAATTTCTTTAGGATCGTCGTCATCAACTTCAATCTTCACTTGAATAGTGTCATCATCCTGCGAATAATATTTATATAACAATTGGATATATTAATATTTATAATTGGATAACGTAAACTTGATTAAAACATACTTTCTCATTTTTCACACAAAGCCTTTTCGATCGACGAGCATTGTTTTCGGAAACTGGTTCCACTTTAACTTTTGTAGGTGTATTGACATTTTCTTCCGTAGTGACCTTATTCAGCTATAAATTTTTAATACATTAAAGCAATAATATCAAAGGTATATTTAAATTTATTATGAGGATATTGTAATCAATTATATACCGTTGTTTTGGTAACATCATCTGGTTGTGTTTTTGGTACTGAAATATTTGAACACTGGTTTCCTCCAGCAAAACGTTTAGACCTCCTTGCATTTGTTTCACTACTAATTGAAACTTCTTGCCTTGATATAATGCCATGGGGTAAGTATGCTTTGTCCTTTTGGACGTCTTCGATAGAACGATCGTCGACTTCCTAAATATAAATAATTAATATAGAAACAAAAATTAAAATTGAAGATAAAATAAAAGTTGATATCATACTGTTTTAGTGCTTGATTTTCCAAGTTTGAATATATCAAAAGGATATAACAATCGTTCGTAATGATTTTTCAATGTAGTTCCTAAAGATGATTGATGATCCATACGCGTTGCCACCTTTGCCCACTTCCTATCCCTTGTGCAGACTTCAGAACCACCTATATTTTCAGTTTTATCAATTATTACCACAAACTTATACTTCCTAAAGCCTACCTAAAAAATCTTATAATTGTACAAACCTTCATCTTTTACTATTCGATGCAGTGAATACAAATCAAGTGCTTTCCGTTCTACCATGGGTATTTTCAACGATGATCCTTGTAATTCCCAGAATTTTGCAATTTGGTCAAGAAAATTTAATTTCACTCGAGTTTTCGCCTAATAATTGATAAATGTTATTTTGAAGTGCATAAAATGTTAGTAAAAAGTAAAACTGCTGTATTCAAATATAAATAACAAATGAGGAAGTGCTGCAAAGAGCCAATAAAATCAACAAAATGAAAGGAAACTGGATGAGACCCATTTTGCAAAAGGAGTACTGAAAGGATTGAGAGGAAGAACGTTGACTTATGCGAGAAGAGGATTCATGAAAAATACAGGGAACTGAGGAACGAAGCACAGGACCAGGAAGCGTGGATCAGGAGATGAAAGGAAAATGCGAAAATTTAGGGAAAAGGAATTATTGATTTTGTAACGCTCTTGGACCTGACTTCGGGCAGACTATCATTTACTATTATTATTTTTCAAATATTTTTATATATAAAAAAAGGAAAACTAATAAAATCCATCCCCAAACCAGACCAAAATAATTTTAATGACGTTTTAATTCTAATGCAAAATACATAATTTTTTTAATATATAGAAAAAATTATAAAATTTGTTTGTTAAAGATTGTTATAAAAATTATTATAATAAAATAAATAAATTGAAAATGAGAAGTGTAATAAATAAACCGTAACATGAAAATCAATATTTCAATGAGAACGAATAGGCACAAACAAGTCATATAAAAAAATCAATACATACATACATTCGGACAGTATGGAATTTCTAATGTTTGGCATATGATAGATTTTCGTTGTTTGCTTATTTGATTATGAAGGAATTTTCACTGCGGAAGCAATGGACGTCGATCTTGCAGAAATTACAAAAGGATGTTATTGTTATGAACAATGCGAGCGGCATTACTAAAGAAGAATGATATGGAACCAAAAACATCGCATTGCTAAAGATTTATAGTTTAATTATTTTTTTATCGAAGCAATTTATCCAATCCAATTATCGTTCTTACTATAAATATATTTATCAAAATATTATCTATCTATAAATAAAAATCTAGAATTCTAAAAGCGATACTAGCACGCATGACTTCGTACAACACAAATGTTATTTTAAATTAAATATAGAGCAAAAGAATTTCAAAATTAAAGTTACCAAAACGTGATTTACTATAATTAATACTTTTGCAATGCTTTGGGGCCGAATCATAGAATAACTAGTGGTGTATGGTATCGTGCCTTAAGGCAAATTGCTGGTACTTCCTGTACCGTAACGAAATGTTCGAGGAATATTAAATGTTTTCAAATAGATTATTATAAATACTGTAACATTGTCTAATATTTATAAGAATTATATAAACCGAAAATCAAAGTTCAAATTATTTATTTAAAGTATATAAGTATATAAGTAAGCTTTAGAACTTTAACAAAAATTAAAATTAAAATCTGAATTATTTTCGATATAAAATTTTTTTTTTTAAAAAAAAATCCAAAAGTAATTGTTTCGTCAACACAAGCAGATGTTTTTTTGAATCATTCAAATCGGATGCTTAGTTCTGTCAAAAACTGCCATTTTTTGTACATTTAGCTCCGTATCTCCGTAACGAGTGAACTGCCTATGCCAAAAACTAATCAACACATCTCCCTATCAATAGGAATCGAATGGTTTTTGAACCATACAAATCGGTTGATCCGTACGCTCGAAAACGTGAAGGAAAAAATGCGGACATACAAAACACACACACACACATCCATTTTTTCTGAGGTATGCCAAAATGTTCAGAAACCTTCAAAACGCGAAGAAATGCAAAAATTTTCATTTTCGATTTTTGGCCCATTACTATAACTACCCTACGGGAAGTTAATTATATATTATGTGTGAGGTTTGGGTGATATTTAACTTCCCGTAGGGTAAGTTATAGTAATCGCAAAAAAATCGAAAATAATTTTTTTATATATTATTATATATCTTTACGTTTCAGAGGTTTCTGAATATTTTGGCATACCTTAGAAAAAAAATGGATGTATGTGAAAAAATGGATTGACAAGATGAAGAATTGGTCAAATTTTAATAAGAGCAGGTCTTGCGGTTTCGGAGATCTAACGAAAAAAGTAAAAAAATTCCATTTGACGGTCAAAAATGATCATCAGACACATCAAATTATCAGATATTTTGTAGAGATTTTACCAATAAGTATAAATTTTGTTTACATTCCCATGGGTTCCGTACCAATGTTTATCCGTTAGACATCGACGCGGCGCTTACGCGCTTTATATTTTATCTCTATGCAGTTAAAGCAGTACGATTGCTTTGAAAAAAAAGTTCAGATCTTCCAAAATATGTCAAAATAAAGAAAACATTTTTTTTCAAAAAAAAAATTAAAAAAAATAGTTTTTTTTAAATCATTTTTTTTTAAATTTTTTTTCAAAAAAAAAGTAATTTTTTGTACAAATTATAGTTTCTCAAAAATCTTATTTTTTCGAAGTAAAATTTTTTCAAAAATGTTAATCGTTTTTAAAAAAATAATAATTTTTGGTACGGGAAGTTCCAGCAATTCGCCTTAAGGCACGATGCCTTAATTGCCAAGACAGAATTCCACTTACATCTGGTTTTTATTACAAATTTACCAGAAGACAGAACGATGGGCGACTATATTTAGGAGATACTACTCAAAATTATTTACGGAGGAACTAATTTCGCGGTCGCTATCGATCTCTCATCAGCTGATATGTTCATGCAGCAAAGGGTTAGTTTGTTAAATACAAGGAAACTAGTTGAAAGTGACATTTTGCCTTGAAACAAGTTGCATGAACTTCCCGAAATGTGTAACAATTGACGTAATCAACCAAAATTGAAATTTAGATATTTAGATAAAATTTTCAATTGTTTATTTAGAGTTACATCAAATATCGAATAGTTTTTTAACTTTTTAAATCGATTCAGCGGTTTTTGAGAAAACGTCGATGAAAGGTGTAATTTTAATTAACGTCAAAAAAACCCTGATCATTTTTTCAAACTTTGATGCATTTCTTAAATTAAACGTAATATTTAGTATGTTTCATCGGACCATGAAAATCGCAAATTTTTTTACAGTTATTTACAAGAACATGAGCCGGCCAATCTTTACCAAAAACTAATCAGTTTCATTCCCAACCAACATCTTTCGAACAGTTTTCGTTTAAAATCGATTCAGGATTGTGGGCTAAAACGTGGCGAATAACGTTTCACTTTTCTGTTACAAAGAAGCGGCTCAGCCGATTGTAACAAATATCTAACCAACGCGAGTGCTCATCAAGTTTCATCAAATGATTTTACAATTTTTGAAATCGAGTCAACCGTTTTTGAGGAAACGTCGATGAATGGTCTAATTTTGACAAACGCAAAAAAAACGCTGCTATTTTTTGGAATTTCTAAAATTAAATGACTTGCCGTAGTGACGTATTTTTTTAATATGCTCTATAAGACCCTGATATCTATCTTCAAAAAAAAAATCATGAAAATCGTTGAAATTTTTTTTTCAACAGTTAATTACAAGAACGGCCCGGTCAATCATCTTTAGCAAAAACTGATCAGTTTCATTCCCAACCAACATCTTTCGAACAGTTTTCGAATTTTTAAAATCGATTCAGAATTGTGGGCTAAAACGTGGTCAATTTTTTTTTCACTTTTTTGGTAACTGCAATCGGTTCGGCCGATCGTCGTGCAGAATTGAGAAACATCAGTCCTTATATAGATACATCGAATAGCTATTAAATTCTTGAAAAAGGTTCAGCTGTTTTTTGAGAAAAGGTCGGCGTGAGGTCAAAAAAATTGGCTTACATGCACACACACACATATTATATCCAAATTTGGTCTCTTTCGATTCAGAATGGCTTGAAACGTCGAAAAAACATAAAATTAGCGATACGAATTTTTTTATGAAAACATATTTCTCCTCCGGGAAGTTAATAATATGACTTTGTAAATTTTCTGCTGTGCTGAACATAATTAAAAATATCATGATTTTCGAAAAAAAAAATCTTTTTTATTTACGATCTGTCTAAATTACGAAGAAATTTAGTAATAGTTTGGATATCTTAGCGTCGTGGTTTCCAACCTGTGGGACGAAAGGCTGTTGCAATGGGGGCGTAAAGCTGTTTGTCAAATACTATTTTCGAAAATAAACCAAAAAGTTAGTTTAACCACTTTATCCCTTAACTTAAATTGACGAGCAGAGCCCGCGTGCGATTGCTAGGCCAAAAGTGAATATTACGGGCATAGCCCGCGTACGATATTCGGGCCAGAAGCAAATATTACGCATTTCGGGCATGGCCCGGTATGGTAAACGCAAGTATTACAAAATATTTATTCATACGAAACTATAAAACACATTTTAAGTTATAGTAATCGCAAAAAAATCGAAAATGAAAGTTTTTATATATCTTTACGTTTCAGAGGTTTCTGAATATTTTGGCATACCTTAGAAAAAATGGATGTATGTATGTGTGTATGTGTCATCGGATACAAAATTTCGTCGACGATTTCGGGAACACGGATGAAGCGATTTGAATAATTCAAAAAACATTCGATTCGTATTGATAAGGTGACGTGCTAATTAGTTTTTGGCGAAGGCAGGTCTAGTCGTTCGAAGATATGGGGCAAAAAGTGTTAAAAACGGTAACTCAGCTTTTAAGAGAACGGAGCGTTCGATTTGAATAATTCAAAAAACATTTTACTTGTATTAACAAGATGAAGAACTGATCAAACTTTCATGAAGGCATTTCTAGCGGTTTCGGAGATCTAGTGAAAAAAGTAAAAAAAATGCCATCTGGTGGTTAAAAACGATCATTAGACATATGCACATCAAATTGTCAGATATTTTATAGAAATTTTAACAATAAGTATAAATTTTGTTTACATTCCTATGGATTCCGTACCAATGGTTATCCGTTAGATGGCGGCGCGGCGCTTACGCGCTTCGATATTTCGTCTCTATGCAGTTAAAGCAGTACGATTGCTTTGAAAAAAAGTTCAGAATTTCCAAAATATTTCAAAATACACTTTTCTTCAAAAAGTCTTTTTTACAAAAAAAAAGGAAATTTTTGTCAAAAATTTATAGT